AGAGGAGGAATAAAAAAATCAAAAGCCTGGTTTTGCCTCTGCTCAGAAACTGAATCATCAAACAGGAAGGGCTTGAAGGGAAGAAGATGAGGCTTTAGCCACAAGAAGTGAACTCTGGGAGGAAAAAAAAAAAAAATCACAGAAAATGGACAGTGAAGACTAAAAAACATCTCGATTGTTCACACAGTTTTCAAATTAAAGGTCAGAAAGAGACAGACTGTCTTAAAGTAAAACTTCAGTTTTATTTGTGTTTTATTAGAAACATTGCACAGCATCTCTTGCAAGCACTTGTAACCTCACTTACTTTTGGAAGGTTATTTGGGTTATATGCTGTTAGGACCTTTGGCAGAGCCAAGCAGAGCACTGTGCTGAGACAAGTACACACAGCACTGGAAAGCATACTGCATCAGTGGCCTCACAGACATAAAGGCAAGTCAAGGTTAGCTAGGCAGGTCAATTTTTTTCTAGGATTACAGTAAAATGAAGAGCAAAAAAGGCATGTCTCCAGATTTGGGTTTCTTCCATAACAGTTTTCAGTCCTCTCCACCACACAGGTTCAGCAATGCCCTCTGGTAATCCCCTTTTGTGTCTTGCTGTAAAGCAAGGGAAGAAAAATACAAAATACGTATGAGGAAGCAGTCACAAAATAGGAAAGTATATGCATTATATTCTAAACCCGTGGGATAGGCTATGATATGCAGTTGATGCCTTGTCACCCTGAAAGAGACTATCTAGACTGAATTTTACTTATGTGTGAATTGAAATTATCACTCTTGCAATACAAATGCAGGACCAAGAAGGTAGAGAATTTTGGTATGAAAAAAAGTAACATAATAAGTGAAAGCTAAAGGACTTGATACTGTTGCTTCTCAATGATCACTGCAAAAAATCATACGTCAAGTTCACTACTTTGAAAATTCGCTTATAATCTAAAATTGACATCTTCAGGAAAAGATTCCGGGTTAAGATCCTGACTCAATTTTGTCTACACAAAGACTAACGTGTCATGCTGTTGTGACGGTGGGTAGAAGACTATTTTTTAAACAGACGTACAAACTCTTTACTTATGCCCCAAGTTAAATAAAACCTAGCACCTGTAGCTCCTGCCCAATCACATAAATGAACAAGTCACTCTAGATAAAATGCCTACTCTTAGGGCACTGAAACAAAAGAAAGCAGCCATTCAGATGTTCTATTTTCATTCAGCAATGACTGTTTTTTCTTTTCCTTTGGTCTGAGGATAGAGACAGGTGAACAGGATTTTTCTTCTTAAGAAAATCAGCTGATTGCACAAAGCCCACATACACTGTCAAGTGGCTATCAGGAGCTGTACCAGCTGTAGACTGTCAAGTTAAAGGTGTTTTTCTCAGCAGTGCATGTATAATAACATTATTCTGACTGTAGCCTTTAAAACACCTCCCATGAATTCTAATGGTACAATCAATCCAATGACGACTGCTGCGAAGGCCCATACAACTGATATAAAAAGCTGAAAAATCTACCTGGATGAAATAATAAAGAGATTTTCCATATTTCCTCTTGAATTCACTCTTAATCTTCAGCATGTCAACCTCGCAGCGGGAGACCATAATCCTGATCAGAACCTTGTCACGGGTTCCCTTGCCCTACAAGCACATATATGTTTAGAATTGCAATAGCTGAAATGCATAAAAGGCCACTGTACCTAATGGTAAGGCAGCAAATTACAGGCAAGTGAGATGAGGTAATGAAAGATACAATGAATTAAATCTTCTAAGGTGATTGATCTAGGAATTTGAGCATGAACATACTTCATACATACTCCAGTTTGTGGCCAACTACCAGTCACAAACCTAGCTACTTAGACTGCAAGCAGCAGCTCGGGTTCACCAGCAGGTCTTCCTGCTATTGGCTAATGCCTGTCACCAAGCATTTCTCTTCCATCCCTTTACTTGAGAAAATGTTTTGAGGCAAATTTAGTGTCTTATTTTTGCACTTCAACAAACAGCTTTTTTCTGCTATCTGCTCTTGCTTGCCTGCAACAGAAGTGTCTAACTTTGCTAATTACAATCAAGGGGTCTAACACAGATCACTGAGACCCTTCCCTCTATTTCCCTATATGAGATGCACCTGAATAGATGATCTAGGCCTATAACTGTTAAAGAATGCTTTAACAATGATGTAGTATTGTTCAAATCTCCTTATGTGCCTGCCACATATGATATGAATAAAAGTGCCTAAGGAATCAAAACTTAATGAAACAATGGCAAGAAAAAGTAAGAGTAGAAAGAAAGAACAATCTTCCCTACCTTCATGGAATCATACAGTCTGTCCGCAAAATACAGCTGCTTATTCTGAATGCACTGGACTGAAGAGAGAGTTGAGAACAGTTAAACATCCTGCCCAGATACGGAATGGCAGAAAACAGAACCTTGGAGCTATTTCTAAAGTCATAGTAAGTAGTCAAAAAAAGGTTTTCAGCAAAATGTTCTCCAAAAGGAGATATGGAGAAATTATTTTCACTCAAGTTCTTACTTAGAGGTTTGGCTAAGCTTGTGGTTGAACCACAAATGCTTTGTGTCTGAGAAAGTATTTCCCTCCCATCACTAGCATCATTTCAGAAGGATGGCCCTCCTCAACACACACCACTATTCATTCTCCCACTCCTAAGAGCAACCTCTTTTCTGAAAACACTCACTGTGCGATGATCCAGGAGAAGCCTCTCTTTTGAGGCTGTTCTCTGTTCTCCATTTGCATTACAAAGCTCTTAGTTCACCCTTAGTCTGAAATGGATTGTCCTCTGAAACCTGGGGACATCATTGTAATCTTCACCTCATGCCACAGTACCAGCCTTACACCCCACCTCCTCATTTCAGAGAATTCAGTTCCAGATCAGCTTTTTAATGAGCCTCTAGCATCCACCACTGCCCACCTTATCCTCTGACACACTGTTCTCTCTCCAGCCAACGTCTGTATTGCATACTTAATACATTCAACTACAGCTCCAACGTTTATGCTTGTTTGGGGAAACAAACATTAAGCCTCTGCATCAAATAGAAGCAGAACTAACAACAGATCACAAAACACATGCATCTGTTTTCATCTGGAAAGCAAGGTTTGTATTTTGCAAAGGGAAAAAACATGCTACTTCTCAAAACTTGTAATATCCTAAAATACACTAGTGGATCAAATCATGTGGGTACATCCAGTTTATTTCTCATCCAGCAACACTGAGGAAGTTGGGCCCTATCCTTATCACGACACACTGCAAGAGCACTGAGAAGATCCTGTTCTAAACATAGTCTTTACTTTCAGGGTGACTCACCAAGATTAAGGAAGGCATTCTCCAGATCTCCCTTAACCTCCTTCTTGATGCTCTCCAGCATATCGTATGGACTGTAGCTCTTGTACCTCTCAAACACTATTGGAAGAAAGAAAAGAGGTGAAATCAAAACCAGACCAAGGGCCGGTAAAAGTAATTGCCCAAATCAAAAACAGAGACAGCAATGCAGAGACACATGATTAAGAAATATCCGTCCAAGTCCTTCTGAGAACTTTAAGTACAGCTGAATTTTGTCATCTGAGAGTGAAGTTCCTATGCTGTGGCCTCTGTTTCCCTTGAATGCCTCCATAAATCTGGTAAAATATGACCTTATACCCTGCACTAGTATTTTTTTGAAACAACACTCATTTAGGCCATAAAAAGCCAAGTCTTCAAATGGCTTTCCTGTGTACTTCTTACAGCATATACTACAGCATTTCTACAGCAATATCAGAGCTGCTTTTGAGAGTCTCTCACTAAAAGAAAGGTATAGCTAAAGCATCCTGCGACAGAGCAAAATACTAAAGGACTTCTCAAGGTCACTTGCAGACATATTTTTTGTATTTGTAACATTGTTGTTCACAGTGTACGTGACATAATTGAGCATTGTTACAGCTGTAAAGAAGAGCTCTACCCACATGCAAACTATGAAATTAGCACATCCAGAGAAATAACTATATTTTTTTGAAAAACAAAACAAACAAAAAAAACCCAACAACAAAAAACACCCAAAAAACCCACAAACAAACAATCAAAACAAACAAACAAAAAAAGGCAAAAAAAAAAAAAAAACAAAACCACAAAAAAAACCCAAACAAAACAAAACCAAACAAAACCAAAACAACAAAATGCCGGCTTGGACATGAATTAAGATTTATGAGACTTCCTATGTTTTATGAGTGCTTTTCACACTCATTTCAATTGTATCTGGGACAAAACAGTTACCACGAGTATAATTTTCTCTTACAGGAAAAAAAGAAATTTGTCTCTTGAATAGTACCTTTCTGCAGGTGAGGGACACTTCTTTCAGTCATAATGTTGATCCACTTGGGGACATCAGTTCCCTTTCTCTTCACGCCAGCATCATACAGCTCCTGGGGTTAGAATGAAAAGTAAAATAATGAAAATTAGGAGTTACACAAGAAGCCACTGCAAATGTATACAATTCCCTTAGTGGAAAACAAGCACTACTGGAACGGTGTCAGTGGGAGAAACACAAAAGAACATGACTGGGCAGACCACCAGGGCAAGATCTGTGGATCTAACTTGACACCAAAACTAATTTCTTCATAGTTACCTCTGTCTACATATTTTACTCTGTATTTAGCTCTCTTTACCTCAGTACAATTGCTCTTGACAGATACAGATGTAATAAGCAAACATTATCAGCCGCTAAATTCAATGACACTTCTCTCAATCTCACACAATTACTTGATTGCAATCAATCTTCACAACACATGTGTTTCCTTTAGTTAAAGGCTCTCTTTCTCCAAATGCCTAAGGGAACTAGCAGAGAGCTTCTGTGTAGGTATTAGTGGGTAAGTAGCCAGTGAAAACTGATAATGAAAGGTATCTGGACTGCAAAGTGGCAGATACCTTGATAGTCTACAAACACTACTGTGCAAGCCAATCTGAAATACAGACACCTACTTTCATAAATGCTTCTCACTCCCACAGTACTTGTACTTTCAGTATCTCCGAAAGCTTGATCAGCTTCAGCCATTTAGTGTTTGCTACAAGCACTTACCCTAGCATCTTGGTCAATCAGCTCATAGTCAATCACAGAGGTATCTTCACACCTTTTGCCCTTCAAACAAGGATAGCAGTATTTAGAAGAGGCTTAACAGACAGTAAGCAGTTTATAATGTATATATTCTTTTATCTTTAGATTTTTAACTTTGAATTTGCTAAATGAGTATCAGTATGGTCCATTCCCATGACAAAGCTGCCGCCATGGATACTGCATTTCAGTCAAAATGCTTTGCCCTTCAACATTTGAGTATTATTTTTCCCTAAGAGACATTGAAAATTTAAGGAAATGTAAAAGTTAACCAGAAACCCAACTGTTTCACTGGCAACTATCAGTCAGTTACCAAAGCACAGGCACATTCGGCAAAGCAGAAAAACATGACCAGGCCTACCTTGGCCAGGGCAACCATTAGCTTGCGGAAGTCACCAGATGTGTCCGAGATAATGTCCTTTTCCAGTTCCGTCTTGTACACTAGAACACAAACCATTATTTTCAAGTAAATGGTCTTGTACAAATACTCTTTATAGGAAGAACAGCTGCTAATTACTGTGTTTATGTGCATGAAGAGCGTGTGGAAGACAAACCAAATTCATGCTTTCATACAACAAACTCAGCATTGCTACCAGCTAGTCATGAGTATTCCCATCCAATCCAAGTCTGTCACGGAAAGATAACAGGAAGACCTAAGACTATTAAAAGGAAGGAAATTTTCCTTCAAGCTCAATATCCAATTACTACATTCTTAGCTGCCAACAAATGCTTTCTTGTTTGATAAACATAGCATTTAAAACTTCTTCACTTGTGCATTTATGATTGGACAACCTCAAGTTCAGTGCAAAAGACAAAAGCTGTTAAGATAAATCAAAGGAATATTGTGTCCAGGAAGGCTGGAGAGGTACTTTTCATAAAAGCATGCAGCAACAGGACAAGGGGAAATGTTTGTAAACTGAAGGACAGCAAGTTTAGACTAGATCTCACAAAGAAGGTCTTCATTATGAGGGTGGCTAGACTCTGGACTAGATTGCCCAGAGAGGTTGTGGATGCCCTCCTCCCCTGGAGGTGTCCAAGGCCAGGTTGGATGAGGCCTTGAGCAACCTAGGCTAGTTGAGAGATGTCCCTGCCCATGGCAGGGAGGTTGGATTAGCTGATCTCTAGGCTCCCTTCCAACCTAAGCCATTCTATGAATCTGTGAGTTCTTCCCAAGTGGTCCCACTCTATATAGCTACAAAATCACATTTGTGCTTTTCAACAGCTACCTAACCTACAGCAGCAAATTCTCTTTGCTGATAACATACTATTTTTTTTTTTTTTTCAAAACCAGCCTTTCAAGCTACATTGTTTTTGCTTGTCCTTTTGTATTTCGCCAGCACTTAACTGGAATTGCTTGACAACTATTAAGCATTAGCACACAGCCATTTGCTACATTTCAGACTATTTGTGGTGATGCTCAGGGAAACAAACAGGCACCGGACAGCTGCATTACTGAACTGCAATGAAATCAACCAGAATGGCCAATATAAAAATGTAAGGGATATTAAAGGAAAAGTATTATTTTTTGAGGATGGCTCTTAGATCACTCATATCTACTTAGTCAACTAAAAATTATAGCTTCAATCAGATAGCACGCTTAAGGAAAGTTGAAAAATTGAATATATGCTTCTATCAAGTTTTATATCCTGTTTTTTCTTGCAGGTCTACTAAATAAACTTACAAGTATGCTTCAACTGATTTCAGTTTCACCTACCTATTATACAGCTGATCCTAGAATCCCCAAATCTAACATCATTTATTCTGTCACTATGCACAGAAAGCATGTAGCTTAGAAAAAAAATTCATTTAGACACAACTTACATGTGCAGTAAATGTTCTGCAATTGGTTTGCTACCAAGCAACAAGATGGAACTATAGGAACACACCCAAATATCCAGGACATCAGTACAAAATAGTAGCTTATGTCTAACTGCCAGCCAAGAAAAGCAGATACTGTGTGACTAACCGAATTCACACTGAGTGGAACTTATCCAAGTAATTTAGTGTAAAAATGTAGTACACTGAAACTTTCAACATCAACTTACTTTCTCTGTAGACTCTGTTAATTTCACTAAGCTCCTGATTTGTTCGTGAGCAGATGATTTCAATGAGTGTGTCTTCATCAGTTCCCAGACCCTGCAACACACATGATTCAGTTAGGTGTGCAAAACAAACAGGCATGCTTGAATATTTTAAAAACATTTTACAGACATCTTTTTTCTCCGCTCCAGTGGAACCACAATCATTGAGGGATATTTTTTGCTAACTGTGCCTGAGAAACCCCAGATGGAACAATTTTAGTTGCAAAACAGTACTCCAATAGTTTGGAGATCCTGTAGATTTTATCTCTGGGGCATGTGCATTTGCTGTGTTTGTAGCACTCAGTGGCCTCCACACCAGCATAACTGGATGAGATCAACTTATCACGGCCCATGTGTGATTGTCTTCTGTTCACTGAGAGCACATGAAAAAAAAAATCTGATTATCTAGCATGCAAACAGGCAGCAACCAACTTGCTCTTCCCTGCCTCCCTCCATACAACTTGTCCACTATAGATGCGAAGCCAAGAATGACACTATCATTAGCCTTGGCCTCAAGTCAGCAGGGAGTTAGGCATGTTCTGCTATCTAGCTAGTAAATAGCCCCTCTTGAATTGTCCATGTTTTCCATGTACTTCACAATGCACAAATACGGACGAAGCAATATTACACCATTAGCTATATTAAGGAATAAAACTATATTTACTATAAGCCAAATATTCATTTTTTATACTGTTCTGAACATGCTGAATGAACTGAGGTCTTACACAATATTTCAAAGCCACTTTTGTGATCAATGTCAATAAGGAATCAGTACTTTGAACTAAGCTGCATTACTACTGGTTTAAACATTATGTGGGTATCAGCACTGTAACAAAGTTATAAACCACATCAAAATGTACCAGCTCCCAATTAAACCTTACAGTAACTCAGCTACCCCAAAATAACGTTGCTTGATCAATGCGCTCTGAAACTTGTTCAATTATTTTACACAGGTAAGCAGCCAAATTAAAAAGGAAAAAAAAAAACCTAAACCCTGCTAGCAACACTGCAATATTCTTGCTCCTGGAGAAAGACGGTAAACACTGAAGGATGAGCTCAGAACAGAAGACTAACTTGGATAAGCTGAATATGCTTCTCTCTCCAGTGCTCATCAAGGGTGCCTGGGTTACTAACTGGTGAAGGCATTTGGTATACACAAGACTCAATATTTTTTTTAACAATAAGACTCCACTGGTGACTTCTTCTATTCAATTTTTTTTTCTTACCTACCAAGGAACATGGTCATGCTAATATTATTACCCTCATCTTCCAGCATCACCAACAGACAAAAAAAATGCTCTTGCACCTCCAGTTAGGATGCTGTTTGTTAAGCGCACCTATAGCAGAACGCAAATTTGTATGTGGCAAAAATAGGCATGGTTTCCACAAGAGAGCAGTCTGCTGGGTAACACCTTGGGAAAACTTCCTGGCTGCAGTCTTTCACATGTGGAAAAGGGAGGTAATTGTGTGGAAAGCTATCCCCTTGGAAGAAGTGTCTCTACTGAAGGGGATTAAAAAGAATAGAAGAAAAAAAGACTAAACTCAAGCAATTTTATAAAAATGGTTCACAGCTAGGAGAATTAGGAAAGCTTTCCATAGCGTGGTTCTAACAGGTATCTGGGAAAGAAATGATGGCTAATAACATCTAAGTTTCTAAATATTTTAAGTATTTTGTAAGAATGCATACGAGAAAAATAATTAACTCCTCAATAATAACTTTGCTTGACCCACCTTTAATTCCCCTTTCATAGCTTATGCTCTGTTTATCAAACCTAAGTTCAGGCAAACGCAGAATGTTAGACTAGGTACTTGGGGGATGGGGATAGCTGACCTATGGAGAGAATAAAATACTCTACATTTTTGGCTACTCTGAGGTAGTGGCTTGGTCTTTGAGCTGTAAATACAGCTGTATAAGTATATCCTCATCCTAAATACATCATATGTCAGACAGTTAAGAAAACCCAAACCACTTCCCCCCGCCCCAGCCCAAAATAATGTGATGTACAGTAAATTATGGATAGCCTCTACTTAAACCAGAAGAGGGCAGCATCCGATTACTCCAAGAAGGGCTTTGTCCCATTCTTAAAGAGTTACCATCACCATACTGTGTTAGTTTTTTGGGTTTGGGAGTTTGAGGGCATTTTTGGGGGAGGTTGTGGTGGAGGTGGTGTTGCTGTTTGCCTATTTGTTTTATAACTCCTTTTTCATAGTCTGAAGAAATCAGTTAATTGTTTTTTTTTTTTTTCGGTCTTGTTCTGAATTTGAAAACACATTTTGATACTTGTTTTCTTAATATTTTTTTAAAAAAATAACCTCATCAAGAACAGTCCTAATTTAAGTGATGATGACAAATACAAATTCTCAAACCTTAGTTTGCTTGAAAAGATGAACACACAGGCATGAGCACGTCTCATAGGCTTATTTCAGTGGCCTGCAGAGCAGATCCTTCTAAACTAGCAGTCTATTCTGTGTTTGCTTGTGATTGTAGGGGACTGAATACAGTGATTCACTGCTGTGCTGTTTCTCCTAAGATTGCTTTCGATGTCTCCTCCTCCTCCTCGTGTTCTACACAGAGGCAGGTCTGCTACAGGATGACCTTTCAAGATCAGTGATATGACCCAGCAACTGGAAAGTACTGCTTAAGCCTATAAATGCTAGCAGAGGATTTAATGACTCTATGTAACATCTGCTCCCTTAATAGTTTTTTGCACTATGAACCTATACACCATTTTTAAGAGCAGTTTTCTGGTCTCAAGGCAACAAGCAGTCAGAGCAGCCTATCAGCTATTCCTGGCCAGATGAAAATTTTCTCTGAAAGAGAGGACTGCATGATTACATGGATCCAGAATTTCTCTCACGTTGGGTGCCTTGCAGATGGATACTTAAACTGTAGTACAAAAAAAAAAAACTCAGTGGACTTGTTGGAAAACTGTGGCCTTGGATAAAACATCCATACTCATTTTTGAGACAGTGACATCAGACTATTATTACAAAACATAGACTTAAATTACAAAACTCATTTACCTTCATGGCAGCTTTCAGTTCAGAGGCATCATACTGTGCTGGTGTCTTCAGCAAGCCCAAGATCACTGCCTCCAAATGACCTGACAGTGCAGACTTGAGTGCTGCAGAAAGTTCCTGTAAAAAAAGGAGAGATAACAGAAGAAAACAATTAAAGCTCACTTCTGATGTCTAGAGAAATTTAGCCTGTAGTGCTTCAAGTCTCCAAGCCTGCAAGTGTTTCTTACACAACTCTCAGGGAAACTGAACGTAAAGAGCTTTTCTTTTATGAAAGCCTAAGAAAGAAATTAGGGCAAAGGAATATCTTCTCATCCTCTGAAAAGAAGAAATCTGCTGACAAAGTACTGGGAAGCATGGTGCAGACATGTTTGAACAGCTCTGCTCCAGTCTTGAAGCACTGACACTGTTGGAGCTAATAAACACAGATGGATCTGAGTTTGACCCCCTGTGGTCAGCATTTCTCCATCGGCAGAGTATTATTTGTAATTTTCCTATTATCCCAGGCCTTTACTAGCTAAGACTTTGGAAAATCGACGGCACAGTACAGGCTGAGTTCCCAAGCAGCTAGTGAAGAGAAAAAATCATCCCTAAGCACAAAAAAAATAATAAAAAAAAAAATTATCCTTGTATTCAAGAATGTAGCCAAGGTCTCTATTATTAATTGTCAGTCAGTCCTAGAAAAAGAAAGTCAAGTATGTTCACTTCATAGGACACATGCAAATCTGTAGCAAATAGAGGAATCTCCTCTTTTATGGGTTTCAGATGCAATTTGTATTATCAGCTTCATTGTAGGGTAGTTACAAAGTTGACACCCCTGGGATCAAGCCTGGGGTTCACACAGCTCAACGTATTCCCTAAGTTGAAGTTAAGTCTTTAGCATTCAGAAGAGAATTTCTGCATTTCAGTTGCTGGTTTCTCCAATAACAATTTGTGAGCTTGAAGGGCAGGGGAAAGAGGGGTAGAGAAATGATCTCAGCAAAACTGCAGCTAAGGTTATGCCAGAGAGATAAAGAGCCAAGGCACCTAGTTCATTTCCAGTCACCCATTTAGTCCAGGGCACTAATAAATGCTAATGCTATATGCACTTACTGCACAGATTGACCAAGATAGTGAATGGGGGTTTTCAGCACCTAGCTGCTTTAGTCTAAGAAATATTTTAGTACAATAACTCAATTTTGAATACAATATTCCATCATTTATTTGTGTGAAAACACATTCTTCAGACATAAGCTGAAACAGCAATGACACTGCATATTTATTTTATAAGTTTTAGGACAATGCCATGAATTCCAATTAGCTGAGTGAAGTTTCTGCAACCTTTGCACTTTGGTGTTAGGGCTGAAGCGAATACTAATCTCTACAACAGGATTTACAAAAGTAACTGCAACAAAACACTTCAAGCTACACCACAAGCACCTGCCCTCATATAGCAGGCTTAGAGATAGATCTGTGACTTTGAAAAATTATAAATATCTATTCAGAAATTCCATAACTCGCAAAATGGGTGCCCCAGCACAACACAACACGTTGCAAACCTGTCACCAAAGACCACCATGGGATACTGTCCCCAAGAGATACAGCTACAGACCTTCTCATATCCTACTTCCTCCTCTCTTGCCATTCACTTGTTCATTTCATTAAGTGGTTTCTGCTGCAGACTTCCATTGTTTCTACAGACCATTTTAGTCTTTGGCGCTTGCTAAACTGGATAAATTCAGTTTGCTCTTGGGTTGCAGCAAGGAAAACAGGTGAGAGAGAAGTAGATAAAAGAAGTTGCGGATTTTCCCAACAGTGCATTTTTGTGGTCATGCAAAACAGTAAACAAAACCAGGGTCCCCCTTAACACAGATGATTCTCCCAGTGCCCCAGGGCATGACTGTCAGGGTGCAGAGGTGTGCACACATGCTTGCGATCAACCTGGGCGTGCTTCTGCACGTGCCAATGTGAGCCATGCACAAAAGCTGATGAATTTCCAAAATATAACCCTAGATTTACATTTGGTTTCGGATGAGCATTCTGGGCTGCTATTGGAGAGCTATCATTTGTGGTCTGGCACATCTGAAAGAGACACACTCATTATAATCCTAACTCTATACAAGTTTCCTGTTTTTCTTAGGCATAAAACATCAACTTCTCAAAACTTCAAAAATCAAGAGAACAGCTCTTGCCTTCCAGAAAGAAAGACTCATGCAGAATTCTGCAGACTTTTTACAGATTTCTCTCCATCAATAGAGCAGTACTTCAGGTATTTCTGACATGGTAGTATCTAGTGATAGTTGAACTCCTATCACTTTGTTCTGTATCTCTAGCGGTTGTAGGGCACTAACTACAGTCTTTTCTCATTTAAGTTAGCTCTGGGAATACTACTACAGAATGCTTTCTTTATGCTGAATTGTCTTAAAAATATTTTTTAAATAAATCAATACCCTAAAGCATCTCCCTTTTATCTTCTCCTTCAAACTGAAGTATTTCATGTCAATGTCTTTGCATGACTGTTTAGTGTACTTTACCTAGTCCTGTAGTTGGCTGCCCAATATGTCACCCATTGTGATTCCCAGAGGTGCTAGAAAACCACTGTCTGCCCAAAAGACTTCAGTCCCAGTTATGCATACTCAACAGATTTTGAAGTGTCACCATCCCTAAACTGTGACAGCATGGAAAAATAGATTCATCTTTAATTTCCGTGAAAGATAACCAAGTAATACTTCAGTTTACATCCAGTTAACCATGAAACACACAAGCCCTGAATAAACAAAATCCATCCACAAGAATAATATTAAGTACTTGGCATTTCTTCATATTTTGCTACCTTTTTGGTTCTTCTCTGATAGGCAAAAGCAATATCCTGTCTCTGTTCATTGCTGCGGTTTGTCAGGATGTTGATGATGGTGACCTCATCCACACCTACAAAGACATAAGATGAAAAGTTAAAGAAGCTTTCTTGTTACTGTTCTCTTTTTATTATTATCTTCTCCAACACTCAAAACACAGCATATGTGTTGTCTGAAGCAGAGCTCAACAGCTCTTATTAGTTCATGTATGTTGTGTCCTGGCCTTGGAAAAAGGGCAACCAATTACTACAGTCCAAAATTTTGATGTGTTGCAGATCTTTGTGCACAGAAGCACATATACACCTCAACAAAGTCTAGTTTGTGACCAGCTTTGTTACTTCTGCTTTACTTGGGTGTCTATGTACATGTGTTTGGTCACTCAGCATTCTGCAGAATGTTGATAAAGAGCACAGGTTTCAAAACTGACATGAACTTACACTTACTAAAGCCTGCCCTGTCTTTTCAGTACAACCTTTTCAATTCAGGCTTCTTAATAAAGCAGTGCTATTTTCTGTTTAACTAGCACTTCAGACATAAAAATGGGAAAATAAATCAGTACACTTCACTCTCTCAGCACCTCAGAGGCTCAGAATACAGTTTTGATACTAGAAGTAGTACATATGTGCTGTTTTTTTGAAATCATCACTTGAAGGTCCATGCTGAGTTTTAACCAGCATGCCTAGTGGACTTGGATACTCAAACACCCAACTTCTCTCTTAAGTGAACTACGTATCAGTGAAAGTTTAGTTTTAAAAATCCACACACTCAAATGCTACTGCAGGCTGAATTCAAGAAGATCGCTAAGATTTATCGTAAGTTAAAAACCAAAGCACACATCTAGGATTAGATCCTCTGTCTGTCAGTAGAGCCTATTGGACACCACAGCTTTAGATCCTGTAGGGGTCATCAACACAGGTCAATGCACACAAAGAACAAGTTTTTATGTCGTACAGGAAGCAAGATTTCCAGATGTTATTTCCTAGATACAGCTAGTTGCTACTCTATGTTCTTTCCAATGCAGGCATCATCTTGTCACTTTTCCACTTGCTCCTGCCTTCGACTACTAACTTGCACTTCAGATTCCCTCATTTTCCCCACTTCACTTGCTGCTTTCAAACAGTATTCTCCTGAACTTGCATTCTTTGGACTGGCACAGTTCCTCCTCTGATCACAATTCTCTTCTGCAGCTTGGTCTTGGCAACACAAAAGATATCCCATAGTCTGGCTGTATAGGAGGCTCTTGAGCTTCTTGAAACGAACCTGCCGCATCTGAGTTATCTCTGTAGTTTATGATAGGGCTCTAAGCCAGCAGACACACAATTGCTACACCCTGCAAACATCCAAGTCTCTCAAAGCATTCTCCACAAGGACAGCTACTATTCGTTCATTTACATCAACACAAAAAAGCCAAACAAGCTGTATTTGTGTTCCTTAACTAAGCATTAAACTTAAATGCTTTCTCTTACTATGAGCTTACAGAGACAGCTGTTGTGAGAAGCTGGCCTCCATTATTCAAAGGAGAATGTTTAGAAATGCAAGCCCTGCCTACTACAAGGTAAAACAAAGGAACTGTTAGCAACAGGTACAGAAAGCAGCCAGGGGAAGGAGTTGCCGTAACAAATAAATAAGGAAACTAGCATGGCACACTCCAACATTGAATGTATCTGAACAGAACTGAAAAGGTTCATGTACATTATTGGTTAACCAAAGCTGCCTGGACATGACGTTCAAGCTGCCTGGACAGGTAGAGAGTAACAGCACAACTGGAAGTAATGTCTAAATGATAAAGTCTCCCAAACCGAAGAGGCAGCACAGTTCATAAGCAGAGGGACGGAGGAGACAGCTAGAACGGCTCTCATTGTTATGCTCAAGTCTCAAGCTAACCTATAATGTGCTGTGTAACCATTTGTTTGACTGGATGCAGTTTAGAAGAGGCAAAATTATTTCTAAATATTGCACACGTACTGCAGCGCATATTCTTCTGCAAGAGAAAGCTTATGTACTAAATGAAAGTCATTTTCTCTGGCGAGTTGCATGCCAGGTTTTGAAGCAAATAGGTGGCTCTCTAGCAAAGAGCTCAAAACAGACCCAGAGTTTCAACTATGGTTTCTCCATTTACCACAGGTACTATGAATAGTTTCTTTCATATTTGCACATACATCAGTGTAAATGATTATTTTTTGAAATAAAAAATAGAAAGCAAGGACTGGATCAGCAGCTACTAACAGGAGTGAGATCCCTGCAAGAATCCATTTACATTTATCTTTCTTATTACCCAAAGAAACCTCATGGCAACTTGAAACAAAGGACTGCAGCAGATACTATAAAATTAATTATACAAAGTGTGACTGTTGCACAAGATCTTTTTAGCCGCTGGCTACAGAATCTAAAACCATGAGTCATGTTCAAAATTCCTTTCTCCATCTTCACCATATTTTTCATGATGAAATACCGCACTTGTTAGCCCCACATCCTTTTCTCATGCTGAGGCAGACCTACATCAGTGCTTTTATTCACACGAGCTTGGCCTGCAAAAGTAAAAGGCCCTGGAAAGCATCGTATGTCTTAGTTACAAATTTTGGGTTGAAAACACGCTGACTGCACATTTCAGCCATGATCTACTCCTGCACGTTTTAAAGTTTTCCCATTCTTTAAAAGAAGACAAATTCCCCTAGTCCAGCAACAGACCTTGAGCCTTTCAGCTACTGCAGAGCCACACCGTAAGTCAACGTCTTAAGCTTTTTACTGAATTCTAAATTTAAACGATTCTTGGCGTTCATAAAAGAAATTATATTTTCAAATTTTATCACAATTCTGATAGATTAGAAGGCCCACAAATGACACCATCCAAGTTTCTTATTCATATGCTTTATGGATAGGAATATGAAGTTAACTCATTCCTCTGGAACATAATGGGAAAAAAAAAGTGCTTGTACTTCACACTTGGGAATCGTGCTGCATGGAGAGAATGCTGACTCACATCTGCTGAGGTGTGGTGGAGTAGGAGAGCAGCTTAAACATGCTTCTTTGCTGTTCAACAAAATCTCTGGAAGTTTCAGGGTAATGAAACTAAAGTTTATTTCCAAATTTACTGTGTCTGGGCAGATTTTATGTGTGCATTCTTATCAATTGGCAGCAGAAAATGAGACACTTTTTTTTTAAAAAGGAAAATATCTTGCAAAGGGAAATGTATTTGATGGTGGTGGGGAGAAGTAAACCTTGAAAAAAAATAAAAACACACCTCTTAATAACAACTTTCTTTATAGAAGACATACTCTGTTGCATTCATAAGATTTCAGTGTTATGGCTCAATTAGAAAAAAAAAAAGTGGAAATTAACACAACCAAAATGATCACTTAAGAGTTTTTAATTTCTTTGTTTTAAAAGACACCATCTTTGAATTTCCATGGGATACATCACCAGCACCAGAATTGTTCTGAACAAAATGGATGATATGGACAGCCACTTAACTTTCTAGGCCACGGTGAGAACAGAGCTGGCATATATTCATTCAGCTCATTTACTAGAAAACTGTTCTTTTAAATTTAATTTTCAAAGACAGCATGGCCAGAACACCAGAAGCTATTTCTGCCCTAACTGGTACTACACAGGTCATCAAACTATATGAATGAAGCGGGATCGCAGCTGGCATCAAATTAGTGGGAGATGTGTGTGATTAGCCGTCCTGAGACCTCAGCACCATCGCCTGTCTGGCACTGACACAGTCCTAGGACTAGTCATCTGAGCTCATGGTGTGCAGGGTCTTACTTCCGTGGAAAAAAATTCTGACTCCACTGAAGTCAAGTGAGAAAAAATTAGATAAAATACAACCATGATTTCAGTTCTGCTATTTTGCTTAACAAGATTTCACCAAACCATGTTGCAATGAGATACTGTTTAGTAAAAATAGTAAAAATTTTTTAGCCTGGAGAAGAGACTGAGGGGAGACCTTCTTGCTCCCTACAACTACCTGAAAGGAGGTTGGAGTGAGATGGGTGTTGGGTCTTCTCCCAAGTAACCAGCGATAGGATGAGAGGAAATGGGCTCAAATTGCACCTGAAGAGGTTTAGACCAGATATTATCAAGAATTTCTTTACTGAAAGAGTAGTGGGACATTGGAACAGGCTGCCCAGGGAGATGGTGGAGTCCCCATGCACCCTAAAAAAAAAAATAGTTTTTTTTGTTGTCTTTTTTTTTTTTTTTTTTTTTTTTTTTTCAAAAAACATGTAGATGTGGAACTTGGGGACATGGTTTAATGGCCATGGCAGTGTTGGGTGATGGTCTTAGAGGTCTTTTCCAAACTTAATGATTCTATTATACTATTAATATTCTTAATATGTAACTGATGCAGTTTGGTGGACTTCAGGCACTATCCTCTCCCACCAGCACATTCCCTCTAAACTTTTACTCTGTAACTTTAAAAACTCTTTTAAAAGGAATGGGCATGTTGGACATGCTATATAAACCGTGAATTCAAACTAACAAAAGACTTCATAGTAATTTTACCAATTTCTGCATATAATTAATTTATTAAAGATGGACGTTAAATGAACTTTCCTACGCCAAACCTGTGTTTGAATTCTGCCAGTCACAGAATAAAAATGTATACCATGAAACCTCAATAAAAGATTGCGGTTTAGGTTGCAGGTAATTACCTATTCAAAACCTGTCTGACAATAAAACTGTTAAACAAAGCATTTGAGATACAGCAAGTCACAATGGTAGGGAGTAACTCTGCAACAGAAGAGAGACTTCAGTAGGCTTTTCTCCTACAAAGCACTAAAAGGAAGCCTAACACATGCTCTGTTAGTACTCTTCTACTTGGTTAGTTCCTTCTATTTAGCTCATACAGTTGAGCTAATCTATACACAGGGCACAACAGAGCATCACACAGAAACTGAACAGCCTTATGCTTGTTGAGGAAGGGCAATATTTTACATTCTCTAGCAAGTCAAACGTGCTTTGTTGGTACTGATGGAAGACTGCATTTCTTGATGATGAGAAGCTTTTTAGCTTTTAAATTTCTCCCTCTCCTGACATGCAGACAAAAGACTTGGCAGTTCCAGTTACATCCAGCTGTTGCTTCTCTGGCCTGAAGGAAATCTGGAAAGCATGGCACACCCTTTCTTTGTTACAGAGCAGGACATGGACAGAAGACTACTGCCCTGGGAGCACCACCAAGGTATAACTACAAGTTGTAGTTTGTACTCCCTGTACTCAAGATCGTTTCAGTATGCCATGCTTTTCCATGCAGCTGCATCTTTCCATCATGGTTTCCTACCAGCCAGTGAAGTGCTGGATCCTGGCACTTACATAAGGAGATGGCAGCCTACCTGAGAGCCTGGCTTGGAGAAGGAGGGGACTCTCACATCGCGCTGCCCCTGAAATACTACAATATCTTTTCAGAAACTACACTCTGTTTCTAGGACTTTCTTTGACCCCAAATTAATACAAGATACAGGAGTACTTCATTCAAAACCCAGAGAAAAAGGTTCGAACCATCCCTATTCAGCTGTTTGGAGAGCTGAAAGAGGACATGCCCAACCCAATAATATAGTAGAAATCCATGATTCATAGTTCGGTCCCAAATCACTGCCATAGAAGTTGGTACTTCATTCTCAGTGGCAGAAAAGTAGTAGAATTTGAAGTACTGATGAGTAAACAGAAAAAAGTGGACATTTTCAGTGCTAACTTCAACAACTCCTGGCTGCAAACTTCAAAAGTTTATCTAAAACATGCATTTACAGAGTTCAAAATTTAACTCAGTCAAGGTTTCATCAGTGAGGTCTGAGCAATCCAACACCCCCTAAAACAGGTATCCTAGAGTAAGGATATATAAACATCAGTTTCAAGAAATAGTAGTTTGTGTTTGTTTTGGTTTTTTTTTTTTTGTTTTTTGTTGTTGTTGTTGTTGTTGTTGTTTGTTTGGTTGGGTTTTTTTTGTTTTTGTTTGGTTTGGTTTGGTTTTTTTTTATATATTTTATTTTAACACCAGCATTCTATCTTACAAGTAGAATCAAAGTCACATTCCGTGTTCCTCACCTTTGGTCTTGATGGCTGTTTCCAAGGCTGCAGCATCCCGGTCAGCATCAAAATTTGAGTAGGCCTTAACTGTGGCATATGCACTTGGTGGAAGAGAATGCTAAAAAAAAAAAAAAAAAAAAAAGAAGAAAAAACACCTCCAAGTTAAAACATGTAATCTTGTCCTTGCTGCAGTTAATGGAACACATCCTTCTTGGTTAACTGGTATTTAGCCAAATATTAAAATACAGAACCTACTATCAGGTATCTGTGAAAATGGAATTCTTCCAAAAGCCACTGAACTCTATTCTCCCCATGTGTATTGTCCAGAAATTCACTCATAGCCATGCTTACTATAACAAGTAATACATCCAAATAGATATTACATATTATTGCAGCTAAACTCTAACACATTCCAAGTTTACTCACTAAATTCCAGTCTTCTAAAATCTGGAGTTTTCTGGATGGATATGAAGGTAATTGACTACAAAGAAAGTATAAGTCTGAAGTATTTTACATTTGAAGCCAATATTTTACTTTGGATTATAGAATATAATTTAAAAAAAAAAAAAGTGCAGGGAGATGAAGATTACCAATGAGTAAGTCAGTCAGAACAAGTTTTGTGTCCTATCTCACAGACTTTAAAGTTAGCAACAAAATAATCTTAGAAAGTATAAATTACTCTCAATCTCCTTTTGAAACTCTATGCCTGCAGATACTTGGTTTAAGCAGCATGAGGCTAACAAAACCAAATGACAGTTCACATTAATTCTTCTAAGAGTAGGAGGACTTGCAGGTAAGTTCACTTAGCAAACAGTTGCAAGGTTTTAAAGTTACCAGATTTTTTTTCAGCTGTTTATTACTGCCCTCTCCTGAGGATTACAACTTCAAAGAGGAGGTCACCAGACCAGGGAGGGAGATTCAACTGTTCTCAGCTGCATCAGTGTAAGCTAACAGTTTAGCTTGTATCATGTCCCACAGGCAGGTTTAACCACAGATTTTCATACAAGCAAAGTATTCACAAATCCCACTCTCCTGAGTTCAAATGAGAGACTTAAACCTCTGGTAGAAAGGTGTAGTTATTAACACCTGAAACTGCCGTAGCTGTTTCTTAAGTCCATGCATGTCTAAGCTTTCTTGGTAAAGATACCTGTAAACTTGTTGCAGTCCCTAAACCCAACAGAAAACCAGGTTCATAAACAGGACTAAAGCTATATAGGGATAGTTTAATATCCCTGGAGGATCTTTTTACATTCAAATTGTTAAAAGAAGGACAAATTTTAGATTTAAAAAAAAAAAAAAAAAATCACTTTTTTTTGACTGCATTTGACTATCCTCTAGAGGTCACACTGCCCTGAAGAGATTCCTCTGGCAAGCAACCAGTGTGCCTTCTTGACACTGTTATGCCCTGGAGATGGGAAGTCAAAAAAGCACTGATAAACTCAACCATTCTTTTCTTACCATCAGCAAAATCGAGCAAAGTGGCCCTAGTTTGGCCCACAGCCACACCTCAAAACACAGCCTTCCCTGTTAGCAGATCAAATCACCACCAGAAACAGTAAACGGAGACGTGCAATGCAGCCTCAGAGAAATCCGCGTGCCCGAAAGATTCCTAAACCAAAGCCCATTAGTATACACAGTCATTTCCCACTTACAATTACCCAGCACTACTGCATAGTCTGAAGCAAATCACCTGGTGAGCTTAGCAGATGGGTATCCTGCCTTCCACCCCTCTAGGATTTTCCAGGTCACCTGGACAGAGCATTTTACTGTAAGACGTTCTAATACACTGAGAAACTACATAGCATATTTGCAATTTGGGAGCTGTCTTTCCCCTGTCCTTCCATCCAATGCAACCAACAAACTGGACTCAGATCCCCTGATGCTGGTCAAAAGATGCAGGAAGCACCTTGTGTGTGTACAGCCAGGAAAGAGAAACCACCTGCTGGCTAGTCTATTAATAAATGGGCCAGCTTCGAATTCACCATCCTCAAAGGTAAGACAGTCACCTGATAGAGCAAAGTATAGAGTACTTTGGTGGAGCAGACACAGGGCAATTATTCTGCCTAGGAAAATCAGCCATTTAAATTCCAGACTATATGGTCTGCAATTACTGTGGTACACTACTGTACCACAGCAATAGTACCATATGTTTTCAGAGAAGAGAGTTTCTCTGACTGGCTTTCAATTTAGTTCAATGCAAAATTTTCCAGGACATGGCAGTAAAAGTTCATCTAGTATGTAACAACACAAGCAGTCTGGGACAGACTAAAGCAGAGAAAGTTCTAATTTTTTTTTTTTCTCTCTCCACATATACAATGTGTTTCAGAGGTCCTCCCACTGGTATACTTCCTTTGAGCTTGATGATTTCAGTCCTACAGGGAAGAGCAGAACATGAGAGAAAAGGACACACCATTAACAGTAAGGTTGAAGTGGCTTAATTTCTTCTAAGAAAACCAGAACCCTTTCAAGATGTGCATCGTAGTATTCCCTGTCCTCAAAAAAAAAAAAAAATTCATCAATTACATCTGGAAACTGAGTAACTTGACATCATCCAGCAGGTAACCTTGTGCTGACTAAAATACGGGCTTCCAGTTCTCAGTGCAAAGATGGAGCACATGACAAAGCCTAACACCAAGATCTCTGCTACAGAATCCTTCCATATGCCTGTGTGGATAGATGCAGAAACTACAAGCATAGATTAATTTCATCTCAACTCTCTCCTTTCCTTAAAGGAAGGAGAAGACGAGAGCAGTCTGAAGCAAACAATCCACTTGCTTTGTCTTGAAACAAATCAATCACTGTACCACTGATGCATAACGCAGAAATTTCTTACTGCACAGGACAGGACTTGAGCTCATCTCTGACCACTCTATACCCTCAAGGTTAAAAAACTTTATTTGGAGAAAAACAGGTGGATGAAGTACCGTATTTAACATCAGTTGCTGAATCATTGCATCAGGGAACCAGGCAAATCCTTACTGCAAGCTAGTTACTTAATAATTCTGGTGTCCAACTTAGGATCTACAAAACAAACCAACTGCCTCTTATTTCTAACACTCCGTGGCAGGATTTCTGAGGAAAATGCTGGCATGGAACAGTATTCAAATTTGACTTTTGCAACTACTGACGAGCATCACGGAAGAAACATTTCTGCCCTTAATAACAGATTGCTCAAATATTATGCCAAAAGTAATACTCTATTGAAAGAAACGCAGCTAAGAAATCTGAGGAGTTGATTGCTTTTGCAGTATAAAATCAGCTTTACATGGATAAGATTCACTTCCTCTTCAGTGACAATCAATGAACCACAAATTTATGGCACAATATCCTGACACTACACTGGTAACCCTACCATCTAATGTTGTAACATAAGAAATCAAGAGTGTGGCTTTCCAGTACTTCAGTAAAACTATCAAGGGCAGATGTGGTGAAAAATACACAGTCAAAACCAAGATCTTTACACTTTTCAAAAGAGAAAACGAGAAAAGACGTTTGAGAAAGTAAGCTTTATCAAGAGGTAGTTTGATTTTGGTGACAACCATTATAGGAATAAGAACCCAAATATTTTAATTCCTATTAAGTGACATTCTTCATTTTCAACTGAAAAGAAAAAAAAAAAAGAAGAAAAAAAATAATCTTGGAAGGTATCAGCAAAACCAAACACATTTCCATCTTCTCTAATGATCCTTAACTCACTTGTTCCTTTGGAAGAACAGGGGACCAAATTAGCCAGTTTGTCCTGTGACCTCTTTCATTATGGCCCAGCACATGAATAATGCTCATGCTGCTGGCCAGTTAGAAGAATTGCCATTAATTTATATAATTGTCCTATGGTTTACAGCTGCTTTGTGGCTGAAAACAGATCACTGCTGACTAGGTTTTTAGTCAGTGAAAGTTTAAGCAGAAGAGCTGTGTGGAATCCTGTAAACTGTACAGCTCAGAACAATTGCTGGTACACAGCCCTGTGAAAGAAACATAGGGCATTTAAGTAAGAAAACTTTTTCCTGTTTAGATAATACTTACATCTCCTTCAAGACTGAGCTTGCTTAAAATTTCATGCACAGTAGACATCTTGAAAGAATGCTGGAAAAGAGAAAAAACAAAGTAGATCTAAATATATTTACAGTTACATCAGCTTGTTATATAGTCCTGAAACACTACAGCACCGAAAGTGATGGCCCAATGAATCTTGCCAATCCCAAGCAAGGAAGCAGATTTAAGTTCTCAAGTGACACCACCATTAACAATGCAACCTTGAGGCAGGTGAACATTGATGTGATATGCTTATGGTACAACACCCTGCCTTTTTTCAGCTCTGGTTTCTGGCCAGGGACATTTGCCTGTGCTGTATTACTGTTTTACAGAAAGTCTTACAACTGAGGAGATTTTGTTTTCCAAAGGTTATAAGCCAAAGGCAATATTTAAGAGGATTCATGCATTTCCAAAACTGCTCTCAAACTCCTCTACTGAAGGAAACACTGCCACTCACATTACCTTCTAGCCATCCAGGTTGGCACCTGCCGCAAACATTACTTGTCTGTTGAAATTAAAGCTTTTTTCTCAGGACCTCTGCAGTCAAGCTGTAGAGAGCCATTATCAAACAGGGAAAAGAGCTGGCTTGATGAGAGGTAGGAGAGAAAGGAGAGAAACATCTCAAGACCAGTGATGTTACACTAACTTATAACTGAGCCTAGAACCAAAATTGCACTATTTTCAGCCTCTCAAATACCATGCCCTCTGAGTCAGCTCCCAGCTACTGCACAGCCAATAATGGATACGTATTGGGATAGGTTGTATCGATGGTCTGAGGTCAACTGCATGAGGTTCAAAAAGGCCAAGTGCTGGGTCTGGCACTTGGCTCACACCAACCCCAGGCAATGGCACAGGCTCAGGGAGGAGTGGCTGGAAAACTGCCAGGTAGAAAAGGCCCTGGGAGTGCTGGTGGGCAGCTGACTGAACATGAGCCAGCAGTGTGGCCAAGAAGGCCAACAGCATCCTGGCCTGGATCAAAAACAGTGCAGCCAGCAGGAGAGAAGCGAACGTGCCCCTGGACTCAGCACTTGTAAGGCCACAGCTTGAGTACTGGGGTCAGTTTTGGGCACCACAGTGTAAGAGAGACACGGAGGTGCTGGAGCGGCTCCAGAGAAGGTCAGCGAGACTGGTGAGGGGCCTGGGGAACATGTCTTATGAGAAAGAGCCCCGAGGACCAAAGCAATCATGGTGTAATCTTTCACAAAACAATCACCAAAAAGCTTTTTGCAAAACTCCTGTTTCTAAATCAATTGAAAACTGCATTGAATCAGTCTTGTTGAAACAAAAAGCTTGAAGCGAGTCCAGGAACAGAACTAACACATCATCATGTAGAGCTGGAACTGGGAGATTCATATCATCAGCACACAACAATGCTATAGCAACTGACCGCCCATCATCAACAAGCTGGCAAAAAAAAAAAAAAAGGGAGATTTTGCAAGAATCCTTGCAGAGAAAGATCTTTACTCAGAGAACACATGGATCTCTTGTCACACCCTGCTTTGTAAGGCACTCATGTTTCAGAACACTCTCACTGTTCTCTGATGTTCTGATTTTCATCTGATGCAGTTTTGACAAGTTCTGGCTGGGTTTGAACATGTAAGTAGAAAACACCTGCACTAACATGTTCTTCCTCACAGTGGAAAAGAATCCTCTTCTACCTTCCAGTAGTAAACTAATACTTCAATACCTTAAGGCAAGTTTCTACAACCAGTTCTCCTCCTAAATCCACATCATGTAATCCTGAATCATAAGGTTTTTCTACTAAAAGAAACAGCATCTGTTTTGACCTCGACCCCCATAGTATTCACTGGTCTCTAAATCGGTTATTATATTGGGCCTAGTCTATACTCAGTACCTTATCCACATAACTGTTTGGTGGCAGAAGAGCGTGTGCTTAAAAGCAGCCCAGTATCTCAATTCCCAGGGACAGTTTACATACATTATAGCAGAAAAAAACCCACATGATCCATGGAAAAAAGTGTCAGGTATGCACAAACAACTATGTTGCTCAATCAGAGTCAGCATTTTAAGAAGCACTTATTATACTCTTGTAGCCAGAGATTGAGCAAAGGGTGTTCCCAGACTTCGGAGCCAAGAAAACGGCATCCCTGGAATGAGAGAATGGAAACTCTCTCTCTTGGACATTTCTGTCAGACCTCCAAAAAGTAGGGCAAGGCCTGGCAACAGCAGAGATGAGGGAGAGCAACAAAGATCTGCAATATCAGCGGTAAAAGAAATAAGGACTCAAAACCATTCATCTATAGACCATGCTAACTGCAAGTACAAATGGGCCAGGCTGTATCTCCCCACATCACCTGATAAAGTTTAGCAGATCATGTAAAGCCACTACTCAAAGAAAAAAAATCAGCTTTAAAGAACAGGATTCAAAAACCCATTAAACCACACTACCACAAAGATACTTAAACTGTTATCTTCCACAGACACTGCTAATAACTCAGTAGATGCTTCATTCCAATAAGATATTACGCATATAAAACTAAGGACATTTATTTCTCCAAATTCAAGTTATTCTCACTTTTGAGGCAGTACAGGAAAAGTCTGTTGGTTGTTTGGTGTTTTTTTTTTGTTTGTTTGTTTGTTTTAAAATCAAGCCAAATCATTCCACACATTAGCTTATGTAAACTACATCCACTAGGGCTGATTATCACGACTAGTTCCATCAACAGAAGGTACACAAAAGGATGGATCACTCAGTGGCATGAAAGATCCTTCCACTCTTGACACGTTATGTTTGTTTCTGCACATCAATGTGCATATATTGCATTTGACTACGACTTAAACACAAAGCTGTCACGTGCAAGGACATAACTTACTTCTGCTTGACTCTCCTGAAATCGTTTCACTTTTCTCCCCTTTAACAGACACGGTAGCATTCCTTTGCCCCACTACCCACCCTCACTCGAGGTGGAGGAGGAAGCGGTATCTAAGCTGACTCACAGGCTAAAAGGCAGCCGCAAGACCTCAGCAATTCCGCTCATGGGGCGTTTTCAGGGGGGGGGGGGGGCGAGCCGCGCCCAAGCCTGGCTCTGCGAGCAACGAACGGCTCGGGGCTCCCTGGCCCACGGCGAGCGCAAGCAAAGGCAAAAGTCGTAGAAGCACTGGCTGCCCGGAACGCTTCCCGGGGCAGGGCCTCCCTCTCTCCTCCCGGGCCAGCGACTGCGGCAGCGCCAAGAGCC